ATATACAGGGACCCTGGCTTTAAAAAGAAAAAACCTCACATTCTAGGCCTTGGGATCGAATCAGGGGACAGCCTACGAAGAAGTGCCAGCTTAGCTGTTCATTGCAGTGAGGGTAGGGAGGGGAGGCTGTGACTTTGGTGGCACACAAGAGGAACCTCCCATGGCCGGGGTCTGTGGGCAGACCGAGTTCTAGACCTGGGAGCTAACACTGACACTGGGCTGGGCCATCTTATCATGGTGAGATTTGCTGTACTTTATTTTTAATTTTCCCATTTAAAAAGATTTTTAAGAAATTTAAACCAGAGCCTGTCATTTCTTTACTCAAAGAGCATCCGAGAGTAATGGCCAACCATGACCCTGCTACTGTCTCATCTTCTGCTGGTTCTTGTAGCCTGTGTCCATCCCTGGGGGGGCTTCCACAGCTCCCCAGGCCTTCCCCAACATCCCTCCCTCCGCATGACTTCCTTATAAGCCCCCAAACATTCCCTGCCTTGTAACTTTGAATTCACTGTGGGATACATATGGTCCCTGGTCACCTGTTCGGTCTTGCCCCTCTGAGGGAGGGTGAGATTTCTGTGTGTAACCCAGCCATCCCCAACAGGGCCCAGGATCCGTGTGAAACAGAGGGCCAAAGGAATAGCCTGTTGTGCAACTCTGCTTGGTGTGGTTCTGGCTGGGGGCCCTGCCCAGTTGTCACAGCCAAGAAGTTGGCGCCTGGAGAGGCAGCTCTCCTTACAGAGTGGGCCTGGGTGACACTTGCCCTGCCCAGCCCAGGTGAACCATAAGAACACACAAAGCCAAGTTCTATCCCCCTAGAGAACCCTAGAATTGTCTCCATTTTTTTTTTAGGTAGGTGAAGTGTGGTACAGAGTCCAAGGGCACTGGCACTGGATCTGGTAAGTAGTGGAGCCAGGCTCCGAGCCTGAACTAACTTCCTGCTCTCACTTTCATGTGCTAGGAGCAAACAGAAGCACCTGCTGGGGATACAAACGCCTGTGCCAGACTGCAGGAGGAAGGGCTGGCAGTTCTGGGCCATGAGGCCAACAAGATAGCAGCCCATGACAACATTTGCAGAGGGCTAGCTGCTCAGGGTAGCAGGGCTAGGACCCTGGAGTGGACAGAACTGCTGGATGTGCAGGCTTGAGGCCTTTGCCGAGGTGCCTGTATTTACTCCTGGTGGCAATGGAGTGGTATATTCAGATCTCCATGCCTGCAACTAGAGAGATGGAGGGAGGAGGTGGGGTGGAGAGGGGTTATGTCCTGGGCCTGGTACAGTAGACCTTTCTCTCCTCAGCTCCTCTCATTCTAGAATTGTGAGCAGTGATGCCCAGACCCTGAGACTCAGCTCCTTGATAAAATGGGTCAGAAAAGGCAGTGGCAGCTGGGCTTGCTGAGGCATGACCAGGCTAACTTGTCTTCATGTTGTCAAGGGTCAGTGGAGCCTAAGAGGTCGTTCCTAGATGATGTGGGTGCGAGAATGGGCTCTCTCTCTCTCTCTCTCTCTCTCTCTCTCTCTTTCTCTCTCTCTCTGGTGTATGCATGTACAGGTTTGTGTATGTCCATGGGGGGGGGGTAGATGTGCATGTGTGTGTACATATACGTGAAAGCTAGAGAGTGACAGCTAGTGGCTTCCTCCAGGACTTGCCACCTTACTTTTTTTTTCAGGCAGGGTCTCTCACTCACTCACTCACTCACAGCTCACCGACTCACAAGACTGTCTGGCCAGCAAGCCGCAGGATGCTCCTGTCTTCGTTTCCCGGTGCTGGGATCATACCATTCTTGGACTTTCACATCGGTGCTGAGGATCTGACCTGAGGCAAGCACTTGACCACCTGAGACTATCTGCTCAGCCTTTGGGCCCTCATGCTTGAACAGCAGCCTATCTGCTTGGTGATTATGGCCCTGGGGCCTGATACTCACCACCACCTCCAGGTCTGAGTTCAAGTGTCGCTGAGTATCTGACATCTGAACCAAGATCTCACCTGGAGGCAAGAGGGGCTGCCATTAGTGTGGAGAGCCTTCTCTGTCTGCCTTCCTTGTTCCAGAAGCCAGCCAGGACATTGCTGGCTGGATTCATGTCCAAAGTGCAAGGATTTCACATATGGCTTTGGCTCAGGACTTGGTAACTCTGGTCTGCAGGGAGTGGTAGCATGAGAGATGGGGCTCTCAGCACTGGCCATGTGCCTATGTTGAGGTGGGAGCTTCTAGAAAGGCTCGTGTGTGGAAGGAAGCCCTAATGAACCCCAGAGCGTGGGTCACATAGGCCCTAGAGCCAAGGAGACAATAGGAACACAGGTAAGCAAGGTGCATGCCTTTAATCCCAGTACCCATGAGGCAGAGGCAGGCGGATCTCTAAATTCAAGGCCAGCCTGGTCTACAGAGCTAGTTCCAGGACAGCCAGGACTACACAGAGAAACCCTGTCTCAAAAAACAAAAACAAACAAAAACCCACAGGCAAAGGGCCCTGGTCTGGGACAGTAGGCAGAGGCTGGGGGTGAAGGGTGGGGTCAAGAGGAAAGAACCTCACCCAGAATCTGTGATGTGGAGCTCTGCAGAGCCTGCTCCCCAATCTTCTGGATGGCGCTGAAGTACACCTCAGCTGCCTCGGACAGAGCTGAAAGGTGAACATTTAGGCCCGGTGCTCAATCTGTGCTACCCTGATTGTGTAAAGGGGACACTTAGATGTGATGGAGTGGGTAAAAGTGTCCTTGGGTGATGAGTGAAGCTTGATCTTCCGGAATAAAGAGGCAGCTGCCTTGTTTGCTGCTGGGGAAGACCTTCCATGTGTGACCTATGGGAGGGCTGCCGGCACCTGTGTGTTCGAGGAGTGGGCAGGGCAGTGTGCAAAGTCTCTAGGAGTGCATATTCCAAGGGTGGGTGTGCGACCCAGGGCTGAGGGTGAGCCCAGAAGCTAGTAAGGAGCACTAAGCTGCAGCCCCAGTGATGGCAGGGGCTGGTCCCTGGGTAGAAGACACTCACCATGGAAGGCCCGGAGGTAGTTGTTGCCCAGGTACACCAGATTCTCTAGTGCAGGGTTAAACTGTTCCGTGATGCTCTGGACCCGAGGGCAGGGGACACAGGCCATGGTGGTGAAAAGAAGGACAGTTGGACAGAAGCACCTAGCCTGTGAAGGTCACCTTGACCTCTGAGGTCACTAGAATCCTGGCTTCTTCCTACAAATGCCACAGAGGCATCTAGGGGGAGCCAGTCCCAAGCCATGAGTCCCTTGCAGACAGCCTCTGTCACACATCTGGCCCAGAGAGTCCTGCTCCCTCCTGACATGACAAACCCTACTTGGTCTCACAGGCTGAACGCAATCATCTCTCTGCTGCTACCCCACTGAGCACAGCTCAGCCCATCCTGTGCCCAGGTCTCACCAGAATAGATTCCTGGGACTGCTGATGTCACCCCAATCTTCCCTTTTTCAAAAAGACCCCTTGGGGGGGTCTACAACATGGTTGGGTTACCACCCTGGGCTATCACCAGCTGGAGAACACACTGGGCCCTGGGGCAACCCCAACACTTAGAATTAGGTTTGACCGCAATCCCAGCAGGACCTCTTCTCTCTTGCTGACCTTGAATGAGCTCTTTAACTGTGGGCTCAGTTTCTCATCTATCCAACAGGCTGGCTGTTTCCTACCTCACAGGTGAGGGTGTGCAAGGTGTGCATGGGGGAAGAGTCCTGCATATAATTCCCAAGCCCTTTCCCCGCTCCTACACCTACAATTTAGCCCAGCCCAGGCTCTTCCTCTGTCCTGGAGCCTGTCTGGCCTCTATATGCTGCCCACGGCCCATGAGCTCACCTTGTAGATGGCCATGGTGGACCTGTAGAATTGGTCCATTTCGGGGGCCATGGAAGGTGGTGCTGGCACTGAGGAGGCAGGGAGTTCTAGCAGGGCTTAGAACAGTGGGGTCTAGTCTCTACAGGTGCCCAGAGCTGTTCCACAGGCGGTGGGCAGCGAGGAAGCTGTTGAGTGGGGCCTGCAGATGGAGTCCTGTCTGGAAGGAGGTGGCTGCTTAATTATTCACCAGCTGGGGGGGGATGTCAATGTGATCTGGGGCGTAACCAGACCCTGTGGGGACGGTGCCCTGTGACGCAAGCAGGCTCCTGTGAGATACCCTTTAATTATTTACCCTCTGGGTGTGGACTGGTGGGCATGCGTAGATGAGCCACTTTCCCAGGTCACCTCCCACTGGGAGCTTCCAGTCCTTCATCTGTTCTATAGGGTCTGCAACACACACCCTCCTGCCAGAGCAAGCCGAGGCACCTGGAGGTAAACCTGAGTTCCCTCTCCAGCCCTAATTCCCTACCTCCTTATGCCAGAGCAAGGATGACACAGGCCCAAGTCCCACATAGGTGGGGCCGAAGTGTGGCCCTCTTCTCTCACTACCCAGACATGTGTGCAGACCATCTGCCCTCGCCAGGTCTCAGATGAGGCTCCCATCAGCTTCCGTGGGCAGGTGGGCCTGGCACTAACACTGCCTACTCCATTGTCTGCTATATCAGGGCCCGGGGAGAGGCTGTCCTGGTTGGGGATGGCACACTAAGACACATACTGCACAGGTGAACTTGAGTCTAAACCCATTTATTTCACAGCTGAGGTGGCCTTGAAGCCCTGCCCACTCTCCTTCCAGAGAACAGTGTATGCACAGGATCGACCTTTGGGAGCTGGGAGGGCTCTTAAGGTGGAGTGGCTGCAGGGGCGGGGTGGCTGGCAGGTGCAGAGGGGCAAAGTCGAACAGACTGGATTTCAATAGCCTGGAGATGAGGTGGAACCCCATTTCTGTAGTTCCTGATTTCAGGAAGTGGGAAGAAGGGGTGGGCTTAGGTGGCCCGGAGACCTGGGAGACCCCTCTGGGCACACTGGGTGCCTTAGTGTTGATCTCACTGGTATGTGGGGCAGCTGATGGGGTCAGCTGTCCTTCACAGTCACATAAAGGGGCTGAGGGGGGCTCTGGGCAAAGTGCAAATTGGCCCTGTGGGGACCCTGTCTGTGCTCTGAGCCCCAGTCCTCCAGTGGATACAGAGCTGTCTGGCCCAGCTTGGCCCTCAGTGTGCTGGGCAGCCTGGTACGCCCCTGCCAGCGGGCCTGGGGTTCAGGGTGACAGCAGCAGCTGGACAAGCTTCTGGAACTCCTCCCGGTGCTCATAGATGTAGACTTCCGTTTCCCAGAGGGCATTGACTAGCACAGCATCATTGACCTCATCCAGCATGATGTCTGTTCCCAGTTGGGGGTTCAGTCTGTTGAGAGGAAGAAGGAGAGGGTTACCCAGGATGCTCAGCCTGGGTAGGGACAAGAACTTGGGCTGGAGAGAGCCCAGGGAACAGAGTACTGCCCTGAAGCTAGGAAAGACCACATCAAGGGCTGCTGGGTACGTGTGTAGATACATTTCAGGGGGGGGGGGGCTCTGCTGGTGAGATGGGTATATACGGGGCTCACCAGGCCTTGGTGGAGTCAGGTCAGACCCAAACCTTACCTGAAGTACTGGATGCCAACCATCTCGCACCAGGCCCGGGCCCGGTCCACGGCCCGACCATCTGGATCTGTGCACTAAGGGAAAGCAGTCTCCATAAGCCGGGCCACAGTGCCCTGCTACCCACCCTCCAAGATCCTTAGGTTCCAGCCATTCATTAGCAGAGTGATGTGAACAGGTCCATGAGTGGCTAGCCTAGCTGTGCAGAATCTGCTCAGGATCTCTGAGTGACAGCAAGGACAGTGACAGAGGGCCTCCCATTCCCTGCTGTAGATTTTGTCCGGATGCACTCTGATCTTCCACAGAGCTGTGTGTACACAGAGATCTACAGTCAAAGAACATCTGAAACCCCAGTGGGACCTTGTCAGCCAGGAGGCTGAGTCTGGGCTGTCTCCCAGGGCTGGCTGACATGGATGGACATGGCAGTGTGTGGAGGCATCAGCTGCAGATAGAGACTTGAGGGGAAAGGCCCGGGGAAGGGCACCCACTCACACAGTCCACCACCATCTTGCCCAGTTCCTTGGCTCCAAAAACAGTCTTGGCCAGTTCCCAGGGGTTGCTGGGGCGAAAGACATCTACACAGGTTACCGGCACTTGAGGGGACCTTCCTGTCCCCAGGGAGACGACTATGGAGAGTTTCTTCACCTTGTTGCCTTGGCCCTGTGGTGAGCAGGACAAAGGTGGTCAGAGGTAGGAATCAGTAGGGTCAGAGGGAGGCCAAAGCTGAGTGCAGAACTGTGAAGGGCAGAGACAAGGCCTTGAACAGGAACACACTCAGATCGAATCCCGGACAGCCCCTGTAGCTGCTCCCTGGAAGAGCTGGTGTGGGCATGACAGGTGGTGAGTCGGTGCTGAGGCTGAGCTGACAAGAGGTGGCCCAGCGTGTCAATGCTCGGGGACTGTGCTGGGACGTCTGTGCCGTGGAACCAGCAGTGCACACCTGGCTAGGTGCCTTCAAGTATGGCACAGACACCAGCACCGATTCCCCAGGGCACACTAGTTGGAGGTTAGGAAAGTGAGACAGCGTCGGCTCACCCACAGCACTGCTCTGCCTCCCTTGGGACAGACCTTGTGACCCCGCTCTAACAACTTGCGTGAGGGCCACTGCCTACCGCTGAGTCAGTGCCTCCACACTGCCCCATACCTCAGGACAGGTTCCAAGCTCAGGAGCCCTTTCCCAGACCTGAGTCCTCTCACACAGGCCCCTCCTCCTGCCTCTGCAGGAGCCCTTCCAGAACTGACATATATGGGACAGCATCCTGTTTGTGCAGACTCCAAGCAAGATACAGCTCTGCAAGGCAAGTGTCCCAGCTGGGTAGTGTCAGATGTGCAGCCTGTACACTGCCCCCCCCCCCACTAACAGCAGGGCTGGGCACCGATCACAGTCGTCTCTGTGCTCCCTGCCCATCAGATAGGCCTTCTGTGGGATAAGATTGCTGCCGAGTGTTGAACAAATGGGTGAGGACATGTATCGGAGTGGTCCGTTCTCATCAGCAGTACTTATGGTCGGGTCCAACTGTGACCTGAGAGGGCTCTCACCTTGCGGATCATGTCCTGATTGTATTCATGGATTTCAGTCATGGCATCTAGTGTGGGGTTGTTGGCCAGCAGCCCACCATCCAGGAAGCGTCCATTGGGCCGGAAGTAGGTTGGGGCTGCCCCACTGCTCCGGGCTGCCCGCCATACCAGTTGATCTAAGGGTGGGAAAAGAGGATGGCTCAGTGACATTAGACCTGTCCCTTCAGATCTCAGGGTGCAGAGGGAGGAACCAGGAAGTCTCCACAAACAGGACCCATAAGGCCTTGCTGCTGGGTCCTGCCATCTTGCTGATGGTTGTGTCACCATGGACTTCAGGGGCCTCTTGAACTGAGGCCTAACAGCCTCCAGCACACTTGTCCTTAACCAACCACGACCAGGGCAGTAATGTGGGAGGGGAGGGTGTCCAGCACCTTGTCTGTGATGCCCTATCCCCTACCAGCCTCAGTGAGCTCTTCCCATGGACACATCAAATACGCTGACCTGCAGGCTCAGTTGGCGGCTTCAGGTTAATGTTTTGGTTGAAGCGAGGTTCCCGATTGGCCTCTGGAGCATTGTAATTCCGGAACAGATGGAGCTCTGCTGGCTGCCGGTCAGACAGTGTTCCTGTCAGCATCACCCTGAGGGAACAACAGAGGACAGTTGGCCCAGCCAACCATCATCTCCTCAACAGGGTCATGCCCTGGACCCCTGTTCTCCCTGGCTGTCCTCACACAGGTGTCTCCTATAGACCTGGGCAGTTTCACGAAGGGAATTGGCCAACTTTGCTGTACTTACTCACAGCTGTTTCCCTCTATCCAATAACCCTACTCTGGAAATTCACTCCAGAAGGTCTCCAGGGCAGCAGACAGGCTTGCACAGAGTCACCAGTGGCAGCACTCATTATTAAAACAGGTGACTGGGAACACCCTCACTGTCCACCGGCCACCAGCCATCGTAAGCCATGACTGCTTACTCACAGGGTGTCGTGGCACAAAGAACAACTGAGGTGGCCCTTGCTGACGGGTGAGTGCCAAGACACAGGTATACAAGGAGAAGTAAGGTTTGGGACAGGGCCTTCAGCATGCTGTGAGTTGTTTAAAACTAAATCAACAAGCATGGCTACTCAGCTGGGTAGAGGCCAACTCTGGAAGGCCCCTGAGAGCAGTGAGCAGGCCACAGCTCCAGTTCCGGGACATGGGGTGAGTGGGTGGAGGGTATCCCTCACTGTGACCTTTGACACCTTCCTTTTATGTCTTCTTTCTGCCATCTCAACCGCCCATTAAAAAAAGCCCCTTTCCCACCTGGGGGGTTGGGGGTAGAGTACCTGCTCCTCTTTCAGAGGACCTGAGTTCCATTCCCAACACCCACAGGATGGCTCACAACCATCTATAACTTTATTCCCCGGGACCGGATGCCCGCCCTCTGCTGGCCTCCGAAGGCACCATGCATGTATGTAGCACACAGACACACATGCAAGGAAGCATTCACAAACATAAAGCAACAACAAAGAAGAAGGCCCCTCCTAGCCCTGTAACACAAAGAGCCTGGCACAGACCCTTCGAAACTAGCATGTGTTCAGATGCTTGCATAGCCCGGTTCTGTGCGCTCCAGCTCCCACCCTGGAGAGGAAGTTCATCCTGCAGGAGCTCTCAGCACCATGGCAGCTAGCCACCCTGTGTAGTCTATCTAACTGGAGTAGCAGCACATGTATGTGTCAGTGAATTATGAGAATTAAACCCAGGTCCTCTGGAAGAACGGCCAGCGCTCTTCACCGCCGAGACAGCCCTCCAGTCCAAGAGGAGCTGAGAAGATGGCTCAGCGGTCAAGAGTACTTCCTGCTTTTACAGAGGACCGAGCTTGGCTCTCAGTGCCACGTCAGGAGGCTCATAATCGCTGGTTACTTACTCCAGCACCAGGAAATCCATGACTTCTGGTCACCCACACTCATGGGCACACACCCACACACACAATGAAAAAATATTGTTTACAAGGATAGGACACCTGACAAGACAGAATAAATGAAGTTCAAAAGTCTACCAAGATGAGGTTTAATGGGAGACTTTTCTGTATTGGGTTGGACTTCGAAGGGCTACACTTCCAGGATAAATACAGACCAGACACAAACATGCCCTTTTGTTGAAAACACTTATTGTTATTTTACATTTGTGGACGGGTGTTTTGCCTGCATGTATGTCTGTGCATCAAGTGTGTCACTGCCTGCAGAGAACAAAAGAAGGCATCAGATTCCCTAGGACTACAGTTACAAGTGGCTGTGAATAGCCAAGTGGGTTCTGGAAATCAAACACAGGTCCTCCACAAGAGCAGCAAATGCTCAACTCCTAGACCATCTCTCCAGGCTCACATGCACCTTCCTCACCCCTGGAGGTTACAGGGAAAGAAACCTTGGAATGGAACATGAATGGAACAAATCTGCCTGTCAGCTTTTAGTTTGTGTTCACATCATCTGGGGAAAGTCCCAAAGCTTCCAAGAGAATAACCCATAAAAGCAGCAGAGCCAGAGGCAAGCCTTTGTACCTGAGAGACCCAAGGAAGTGGGCCCATTCCAGTTTTAAAGAATCTGATTTTCAACACTAAGAAGCAGTGCAGACAGTAAACAGATAAATCAGGAAGGACACACTGGAGAGGTCACCAAGAGAGCTGGGAACAGAGCAAAGGGCCTGAAGACACCCACTCTGAGTCAAGGCAGACTGGAGACAACCAAACACAGGCACAGGCTGCAACAGACATGGCACTGCAGTTAACAAATGCTGGCTTGGTAACATCTTTGTTGCTCTGCAGTGCTGGGAGCGTACTAAGCTCTATCACTGGGCTGGGATTGCAGCCCAGGGGACAGTAGGTTATAGGCAATAATTGAAGACCAAAGAGTGTTCCCCTTGGTGGGGGGGGACCATACACACCCATATGCACAAGTCCGTGAACATTTTTTTTTTTTTTGAAGTCAACAGATGGGTTAAATAACAAAGCAACAGCGCTCTCTAACACCAGCGCCGCCTCTCGCTTGCCGAGCTCCAGCCGAAGGAGAAGGGGGGTAAGTAAGGAGGTGCTTACATCATGGCTCGTACAAAGCAGACTGCCCGTAAATCCACCGGTGATAAAGCACCCAGGAAACAACTGGCTACAAAAGCCGATCGCAAGAGTGCGCCCTCTACTGGAGGGGTGAAGAAACCTCATCGTTACAGGCCTGGGACTGTGGCACTCCGTGAAATCAGACGCTATCAGAAATCCACTGAACTTCTGATTCGCAAGCTCCCCTTCCAGCGTCTGGTGCGAGAAATTGCTCAGGACTTCAAAACAGATCTGCGCTTCCAGAGTGCAGCTATCGGTGCTTTGCAAGAGGCAAGTGAGGCCTATCTGGTTGGCCATTTGAAGATACCAAACTGTGTGCTATCCATGCCAAACGTGTAACAATTATGCCAAAAGATATCCAGCTAGCCCGCCACATACGTGGAGAACGTGTTGAGAGTCCACTATGGGGGGAAACATTTCATTCTCAAAAATTTTTTTCCTCTTCTTCTGTTATCAGTAGTTCTGAATGTTAGATATTTTTTCCATGGGGGGGTCAAAAGGTACCTAAGTATATGATTGCGAGTGGAAAAATAGGGGACAGAAATCAGGTATTTGCAGTTTTTCCATTTTCATTTGTGTGTGAATTTTTAATATAAATGCAAGATATAAAGCATTAATGCAAGCAAAATGTTTCAGTGAACACTTTCAACAGTTCAACTTTATAACAATTATAAATAAACCTGTTAAAATTTTCTGGACAATGCCAGCATTTGGACTTTTTTAAAATAAGTAAATTTCTTATTGACGGCAACTAAATGGTGTTTGTAGCACTTTTATCATACAGTAGACTCCATCCATTCACTATACTTTTCTAACTGAGTTGTCCTACATGCAAGTACATGTTTTTAATGTTGTCTGTCTTCTGTGCTGTTCCTGTAAGTTTGCTATTAAAATACATTAAACTAAAAAAAAAAAAAACAAAAAAACAAAAAAACAAAGCAACAGAGAGAATCTGTGGACTGGAAAACAGGTAAGCAATTACCCAGACTGCAACACAAAGACATCAAACATTAGAAAGTAGGCACAGTAGCACACACCTTTGATTCTAGCACTTGGGAGGCAGAGGTATGTAGGTCCCTGTGAGTTTGAAGCTAGTCTGTCAGGAAAGCCAGGCTTATATAGTGAGCCCTGTCTTGAAAAAAAGGGCAGGGGGTGAAGAGGGGAGAGGGAGAAAACCCTGGGATTGATATGTAAAACAAGGAGTAGAAAATTTGAGAGAAGGCTGGGCTGGCTGGTTAACTGGATCAGCAGGTAAAGAAGGCATTGAATGCTCAAGTCCTGACAATCGAAGGCCGAGCCTTAGAGCCCATGTGGTGGAAGGAGAGAAACAATCCTAAACGCTATCCTTTGACCTCTATGTTTCCATTCTCTCTCTCTCTCTAAAATAAATGCTAAAAATTTTAAAAAGAAAATCAAGGGAGGTTAAAAGCTCTAGAGGAGATAAGTAGGGAAAACACACACACAAGGAGAGAGACTGCTGTGGGGGTGGGGAATGAACTAGCACAGACATAAGTTAAAAAGATGACTCGGTATTCCAAAACCAAAGAAAGACGCCAGGGTTTGAGACCACATAGAGACAGTACAAGAATCCACCTCTGCATATGTCAGCATCCTAACGCTGAGCAGCAGCGTCCAGCAGGCAAGCAACCAGCACAAGCTGCACATGAGACCTCGGAAGCAACAGATGGCAATTATGTGCTGAATATCAGAGCCCCTGGTTTCATAAAACAAACACTAAGACATAGAGGACCACATAGGTCCTGAAATAATAATAGTATTCTACTCTCATACTTAGGTAGCTCTTCCAAACTTAAATGAACTTCAGAAGTAAATATACTGTATCTTAGAAGGTTTCTGTTGTTGCGACAAACACCATGACCAAAAGCAACTTGGGGAAGAAAGGTTTTTTTTTTTTTTTTTCAAGCTCACAACTCTCAGGGAAGTCAGGGCAGGAACACGGGGGGTGGGGGGGGGCAGGAGCTGAAGCCCTTTCCTTTCTCTTGCTCCTAGTCACTTAGTTGGATGACAGACACTGTTCAATGCCTGTCTGTGTTAAAGGCCAGGGCTGCAGAGAACAGCCATATTCCTGCCTTTTTAGGCTCATAGCCTGGCTAAGAACATGGCCCTTGCTACAAGCATGTCTTCAGAGGGGCCTCTTTAGCTCCTTCTTTCCCAGCTTCAAGGGAAGTTAGCCTTTCTACCCTGGGGTGGCTCTCCTCCTTCCCTTCCATGGGCACCGCAAAGCTGGGCCAGCAGATGCCATTGACAGAACAAGGAACAAGCATGGTCCGGTGTGACAATATCCCATGAAATGCCTACCAAAGCTGTCCAGCTGACTTGGAGAAAGCAGGCCCCACTCTCTCCAGGAAGCTCCAGGCCACCAGCTCTGGCCCTCCCAGTTCCTCTCCTCTCCATGCATGCAGACAGTCTCCCCAAGTTCTCAGGAGAGGCCCCTCATCTAGACTGGATGAGGTACCGTCCTGATCCCCAGATTTGGGCAGGCAGGGAATGTGACTTACTTGGGTTTTTTGACATCTGTCATCTTGGTGTGCTCCCCAAACTCCCGCTTCAGGAATTCTTCCAGGGGCCCAGACTCATAGGGCCGTGAGCCCCGAAACACCTCGTCCTTCATACGGAAGTACACGCCACGCATATAGGCCATGGACTTACCTAGGAAGAAAAGATGAGGAAATGGAGAGACCCCGGGGTGATGTGCAGGCCCCTGTGGGAAGGAGCATGCTAAGCAGCTGTAAGCTTCAGGAAGCATGGGCAGGCACTGGTGGGAGGTGGTAAAGAGGTGCATCTGTCAAAGGGCTAATGGAACACAATCTTCCAGGTCCTTCTATAAAACCTGCCCATTATAGGCTGAAAGCCCCCTTTCAGGGTCCTCTACTTAAATGTGTATCACCAAAAAGGGCCTTGAAAATATAAAATTGTACAGAGCTGGTCCCATTCCCCTGTCCTCTAAGCCTGCAAGCCAGACAGGCTATGGGGAGGTGGTATCCAGCCATCTCACAAGCTCCCTAGGGTGTGCAAGCAGATGGGCCTGCTAAAGCAGGCCTTGTGCCTATCTGAGGCTGAACTGGGCAACTTCTTATTCCCCTGCCATAGCTCTTCCAATGTGAAGATGAACGAGGACTTCTGCCCGTTCTACAGGAGGAAGACCCCATGCACTGTGGGTAGAGCAGGTTCTCTCACAGACCAGGAAAGACTCAGGGGAGCTGGGCTGACTCCTCAAAACCAGCCCTGGCTCTGGTCTGATGCATAGTGCAGCCCTCTCTGGTCCTCAGATTCCCTGTGTGCTCATCCCACAGAACTAGGGTGAGAATCTCTCCACATGTGAAGTACTTGCTGCTAGACCACCACTGACGACCAAACCCCAGCAGCTCTCCCTGGTAGAAGACTTCCTTTCCAGAGCCCCACAGGAAATGGCCCCAACAGCTCCCTGGGATAGCTGTGCTCATATTCCTGAGAGCTCCTAGGATGAGCCCACGGCCTCACCCCAGGTACCTGTACTCCTATCTCACCAGGAGCTTCCTGAAGCCAGGACTCAGCTCTACATCCTTACAGCTCATGAGTACTCATGGGGCCTACACTTAGGATGGAGGGAGGTGTTCTATGGTGCTGCCAGGGCCTTAGGCTGCCAGGATCTTGATTTTGGCAGGTCCTTTGGTAAAAACAGAATTTGGAGAACATCCAGGCAAGGGGTACTACTTGGGAAGGTGGAGACCAGGGACAAGGCCTATAGGGATGCAGCTGAGTCTTAATCTAGGAATATCCAATCAGTCAGCACCACCTAGCTCAATCACTCCCCAGAGAAGATGCCAGGCCACCTGAATGGCAATGCTGGCCCTATGTGGAAACCTCCAGTTACCCAAATGCCTGTACTTCTGCAAGGCTAACTCAAAGGAGGTGGACTAGTGGCCTGTGAGGTGATGGTCTGAGTCTAGGGGAATACTTTAGCCTGGGTACTCCCACGGTTGTGCCATGGACCTCTGGCACACTTTCTCAGCCAGGGTCTTGACTGTCCAAGCAGCCCAGGGCTCTAGCATCCTGTGACTCACTTATTATCCCAGAAATGCCCATTCCATCCACCAAAGGTGTTTCTACTGGCAGCAGCTAGCAGGGTCAATGGTGCTGGCTTGCAGGAGTATGGAGGTGGACAAAGGCCACTGAGACATAAAACTCTCCTAAACTGGTCCTGTACTCTGACCTGTGAGGGCAGATGACCTGCCTGCCCACCCCACCACACCCAGAGGCTATGCTCACTGTGCAGAATGGCCAGGGCCAGGATGCCCCCAGTGCTGGTTCCTGCCACCCAGTCGAAGAGGTCCTTGGTGGCCACACCTGAGGCCTTCTCGATGGCAATGAGGAGCTGGATGATGACCAGGCCTTTCACGCCCCCTCCGTCCAGGCAGAGCAAGTGATCATGGCTGCAGTGAGGATAGCAGTGGGCCAATAGGGTCTCATGATGGCACTCTTGACCTCAGGTCCCCTGAGCGTCTGCACAGCAGGGGACATGAGCAAAGCAACAGAGCCTGCCTTGGAGCCTACTTGCTATTGGGCATGGAACCAGGTGGGTAGGAAAGAAGAGAGTGTTTCAGACATGCAAAGGGAAAGGAAGGGTGGGGTGAGCAGCAGGACAGCAAGTGGGGTGGGGAGCATGATGGGTGAGGAGCTTGGCTTTTGAGTCCATACACTGTAGCAGGCTTGTCCAACCTGTAGCCCATGAGTTGCATGTGGCTGAGGACAGCTATGAATGCAATCATAAACTGACTTTTAAGGTTTGTGTGTGTGTTGTGTGTGTTATAATGCAATTACATGGTTCTTGTGCATGAACTCTGTAGATGACTATGTAAAGTCTCAGTGTTAAAAGGTTATACTCTCCTGCCCAACCCAGTCTAGTCCCAAAGATGACAGAAAATGCAAGGTGCCAGGACTCCATGGCCATGCTCTGGGGACACCTGCAGTCTATGCTCAACCCTCCCTTCTAGGCTCATTTTCCCTTCTCGGTTTTATGATTTTGTTATGTTTTTTGGTGTTGTGAGTCAAGAGTTTCACATTATCTGAGGCTGGCCTTGAATTCACAATCCTCTTTCCCCAACCTCGGAGCTGTGAGATTTACAAATATGCGCCACCATGCCTGGCTTCTTCTCAGCTTCATCACTGCCTGTAAGAACTCAATTGTGATTGCTGGCTTTAATTGTCAACTTGACACAAATGAGAATGACCTGATGAGAGACTGCCCACACTGGGTTGGTCTGCTCAGATGTGCCCACTGTGGGCAGCACTGTTTCCTAGTTAGCAGGACCTGAACTCTGTACAAGAGGAGGAATCAAGCTGAGCACAGACAAGATAGAGCATGCATACATGAGTTTCCTCTGCTCTCGAATACAGATGTGAAGTGACTAGTTGTTTGAAATTCTTATTCTGACCCTCCCACAGTGACGGACTGTACCTGGGCTTGGAAGATGAAATAGACTCCTTTCTCCCATGGGCTGTTTTCTACCTGCTGCTTTACTTCGGTAGCAGGATAGCTCAAACAGCCCATAACTCCCTGTGGTGGCACTGCCAGCCTCTGAAGCAACCATTCTTTGCACACACCCCACCTCTGGACAACAAGCTCCCATCTCTATCTCTGCTCTGTCTCTCAGGCCTACCTCCTGTAATGGGACAGGGCACACAACTGGGAAACAAAGTCTGAGGAGAGGAAGGCAGTTGGGAAGCTGGCAGCAGAGGGAAGCAGATGCAGGCATCTCTCCAGAAGGGGTTCAGACCACCTTCTCCCCATAAACCATAAGGCCAAGGCAAAGACAATGGGACTACACTGCTTAACCCTGCTGCAAGGCCCTGTGCTGCTCTCTGGAGGGGGCATCATCTGTCACTAAGGAGCTGCCATAGGCTCCAAAGACTCAGTCTGTGCCATGACTGTGCACAGCTAGGAGAGGGCCTCCCAGCACATGGTGGGGATGAGGAACACTCCACTGAGGGCACCAGGAGAACTTTCATAGGTGAGCCTGGTCCTCAGTCTACTTACGTTCGCTTCTCATCCCTCATGGAGCTCAGGATGAATGCTGGCTTCCGGGCTCGGGAGATGGGCATGAGATCCTGAAGCTCTGTGGGGAGAGGGCAGGACACTCTGGGGCCAGCAGATCTCTCCCAGACACCACAGGTCTCTAGAGCAAACAGAACTGTGCCCCATCCTTCTGTACATCTCCTCAAGGCTGACTTCTACCTGGCTGAACTCATACTCTACTGCCCCCAGCATCTGCCTCCTGCCCCCGGAGGGGCTCTCTGCTCCAGGATAAAGCCAAGCTTTATGCCACAGGCCTGCTAGTGGAGCTGGAGTGAGGAGGGAGCCTGCTGCTTTGGGAAGGGCTCCCTACCTGTCCAGCTAGCTCCCAGAAATTCCTAGATCCCTCTACAACCCTGAAGCTTGACCTCCCAGGTGTGTTCTGTGACCTATTAGAGCAGATGCTGCTGACAGCCACCCATGATTTGACCACAGTCCTTCAGCCAAAAGGGCTTCAGGACACTGATCAGGGCCAACTCCACAAATGAAGGGACACATCCCAGTCATCCCTCAGACCACCCTTGTCCTGTCCTAGGTCTACAAACTTCCTCCATGCCTCTGGGCTCAGATCCACCCATCTGCCCCATCTAGTCATCTTCCTCTGTATACTATCCCCACTCTCCCCCCCCAGGTCACCCTGCATGACTGAGCTGACAGCCACTGTGCAATGAGGCTACAGGCAGCAAGGTAGGTGGGAGCCAGCTGTGCTTCTCTTAGCAGGCACATGCCATGGAGCAGGCAAGGTACACATGCAGGAGAATGGCCAGCAAGACAGCAGATGGTGCCAGGGACAGGGTGTAGGGATGGCGCCTATGCCTGGATGTGCAGCTTGAGGGGGTAGGGTGGGTATTGAGATCTAGCTACAGTAGAGGGCAGGCTCAGCGGTTTTTTTAGGCGCAGGCATTACCCATTCATGGCCGCACCCCAGGCCCCGCCATCCAGCCTGGTTTGAGTGACTGCCTGCCTGTGAATGGAGAGAGAAAGGTGGGTGCTGGGGGATTTCAGCTTTTCTGCTCTCCAGAGCTCCAGGCCTGGCTAGGTTGGCAGGCAGGGCTGTGCTTGGGGTTTCTACCTCCACAGTTAGAGAGGTGTGGCTGCTCAGTTCTGTTTAAGGACTCTCACTCCCAAACATCCTAGATCCCTGGGTGCGCCAGAACACAGAAAGCCCGGAACAGGTCCCATCTACTCTTGGACTGCTCTAAGGGCATTAGTGACACACATCAGCAAATGGTCACTTGGCCACTTCAAAAAGCCTTTAAGTGCTGGGTGGGGCTCACACCTTTAAACCCAGCACTTGGGAGGCAGAGGCAGGTGGGTCTCTGTAAGTTCAAGAGTAGCCTGGTCTACAAAATGAGTTCCAGGACAGCCAGGGCTACACAGAGAAGCCCTGTCTTATAAAACAAAAACAAAAACAAAAAACAAAAAGAAAAGAAAGAGAAAAGCCTGTAAGTAAGTGAAGGAGCCAGCAGGAGACGTATCAAGTCTTATGCTACACAGATTTAAACAATGTGAGAGTTGAGGCCAGGTGGCTCACCTCATCATCCACGCTTCCCTCTCAGGGAACCAGAGGCTGTGACAGTACCCACCTGAGAGGCACCACGGGAAACAGCCACCCTGAGCCCATGTCCAGGACATCCTCTCGGGGACCTCTCCTAGTGACCCGGTAGGCCTCAGGGATCTGTGGGTCATTTGGTGGCCTATACTGGTTGATAAAGCTTGGCTCTCCTCCCTCCAGCGACTTCTGCCCTGAAGCCCTGTTCCTTTTAGTGGGGGCTGCTGGGAATTGAGGGCCCAGACAGAGCTGAGGAGGGAGGGAAGGCAGTGGCCTACCTAGGTTGTTTAAGCTGATTGCTGGGGTCTGAGTTTTGTCCAGGGAGAAGAAGGGGTGAGGTGTTGCTGCAGAGCTCTGGTCCGTGGGGACCCCCTGGATGAGTGGGAAGCGGTGGTCAGCACCCACAGTTCTCAGCAGACTCAAGAGCGCCTTCCTGGTAATCACTTGTCAGGGTTTGGGAAGGAGAGACGGCAGAGGGTAATCATGGCATCAGCTAGCAAGTGAGACCCCCCCCCCTTACACACGGTCCTCATATAGCAGGTGACCTGACTATATGGGGTAACTACCCTGACTGGCATATTGACTGGTCTGTTACATGAACACAGCCTCTTGGCATCGGGGAAGGGGCTGAGGAGGACTGTGGGATATGGCAAGAGGGAGCAGACTCATCCCACTAACTGAGGGCATTCCATCTCTCCTTCACCTGCTATGATGCAAAGCTACTAACTCCACGATCAGCAGTTCTCAAAAACAAGGACTGTCCTCCCTTGCAGAACCCCAGAGGATTGAGCTAGCCAATGCACCAGTCCCAGGGAACAGAGGAGACCAGGGAGAGGACACAACTAGCACCTTTGCCTGCTTCTACCTTGGGCCCCACGTCTTTTCTGCAGGGTTGGCTCTGAACCCAGGGCTGAGCAAAGCTGGAGAAGGGAGGAAGGGGAAGGAAGGTGAGGGGAGGAGAAGGGGAAAGGAAGGGAAGAAGAGGGGGGAGGAGAGAGGATGATGGAGGAGGTGAGGGGAGGAGGGGGCATCTAGGTTGTTTAAGCAGATGGTGAGACTGAGCTATCTGCTGAGAGAAGAAGTCAAACAATCAGGGCAACACACCCATGCTAACCCATACTCCAGCACCTCCAGAGGGGATGCAGGCTTCCGTGAACAGAAACTGCCTCCTATAACTCTGAAGCTAAGCACAGTGGGCAGGGGCAGCAATGCACATGCAAGTCTATGTATGCACCCAGTATGTCTGAAGCGTAGGCATATGTGGACATGCATGGTACATGCAATGACCCTATGCTTGCTCTGCTGCTGTGGACCTGGTCTCACCCACACTGGGAGCCCGAACACACTCACCCTGAGCTTAGTTAGGACCATGCTCAGCAAGCCCTGGGAGGGCCTGTATCTCCTGCTCTGTCTTTGGGGAATGAGGCTGCTCAGCAGGAAGCAGCTGGGCCAATCTGATACCTTACAGCTGGGACTTCCCTCCTCAGTCTCCATTCTTGCCCCCCCCCCCAACCTCTGGTCCCAGACTGAATAACACATACGTTTGCTAATCTTGGAGGCCATGAAGGCAGGAGTCTCCCCAAAGTCATTTGGGGTGTCCACTTCTGCCCCAAATACAATGAGGGCTTTGATCATCTCCATGTTATCTTTCTGTTGGGAATAGAAGGTGAGAGAAATAAGCAACAGCCCAAGACCTCACCCACCAACTGTCTCACAGAGACTCTCAGCAGCATGAGGAGACACTGGGGTCCCCTGATGTGACAAAGAACACCCCTTGAAGACCAGTGCCTTCACCAGTGACCTTTAGAGCACCCCTCATGGAGGGCCCAAGAGCCCAGGAAGAAAATGGAAGAACCCTGGAGTGAATGTGTATTACTGACACGGCATAGCGACAAGGACCCCAACGCCTCAGGCCTATGGAGATGTCAAAGCCTTCCTAAGTTAGACTCGTGATTGGCAAAGTCTTCCTCTAGTTTGCAGATGTTGACAGTATGTGCAAAAATCAGCAACCCCAGCTTCCTCCTCCCTTATGACTGCAACCTGAGACCATGCCTCAACAGAGGCCACAATGAGACTAGCTAGCCCCTCCTTTTGCTGCTGCTGGCCCAGCAGAGCCAGCACATCCCACCCCACTCCAGCTTTTCTCTAAGTGCATCTGTTGCTTCTTCACTCAGTCAAGTTTCAAGGCCAGCTGCACAGGACTTGGCCCAGATTCACCCCCTCTTCCTCAAAGCAAGCAATGCACCCAGACTGTGTGGTGTTGTGAATGACAACAGCCACCAGGAAGTGGAACTCTTCGACAGCATTAACAGGACTAGGAGTAGGTGTGGCCTTGTTGGAAATGTATCACTAGGGATAGGCTTTGAGGTTTCAAAAGCCCATGCTAGGCCCAGGTTGGACTCGTCCTCTCTCTCTCTCTCTCTCTCTCTCTCTTTCTCTCTCAGCTTATGAATCAGGATGTAGCTCTCAGCTATTTCTTCAGCCTGCTGCCATGCTCTCTGTCATGATTGATAATGGACTAAGGCTCTGAAACTATAAACAAGCTCCCAATTAAATGCTTTCTTTTATAAGAGTTGCCTTGTCCATGCTGCCTTTTCACAGCAACAGAACAGTAAAGCATCTGGGGACATGGAAGGTCCAAATGCTGCCAACAATCAGGAGCAATACAGGATGCATGAGGACTGAGATTGCCATCTTGCCTGTCTACTCCAGGCAACCTTGTATAGACCCTCCCCAGTGGCAGCCTTTAAGGGAGCTTCCTGCCCCAGAATGCCATGCAGTTAAACCCTGGGTAGGCAAGCACAAACCAAAGGACTGGCTGCCTGGAAACCTAAGCTCTGTTCTAAGAGCCTGATTTTCCTGCCAAGGGAATGAAGTGGTACATCCAGAATGTTGTTTTCCAAGTAGTTCATGTTCCATTTGGATTTATATGGATACAGGCAAATACATATGTTCTGGTCACTCAGGTCTTTCTTTTCTGGATTTTTACATATGCACTTAAGGTATTGCTATAATAGGGCCTTCCAAATAAACGTAAGTGTGTTTAAAATGAAACCAGCTGATGGGGCTGGAGAGATGACTCAGAGGTTAAGAACACTGGCTGCTCTTCCAGAGGACCCAGGTTTAATTCCAAGCAACCACATGGCAGCTCACACCTGTCTGTAACTCTAGTTCCAGAGGATCTGGCACCTTCACACAGACAAACATGCAGGTAAATAATGCACATAAAATAAAAATAAATTATTAAAAAATACATGAGTGTGGCACGTAACCCTGGCACTTGAGTGGCTGCATTAGGGAGTGCCACAATTTCAAAGCCAGTCTGGGGTGTAAAGCAAGACCTTGTTTAGGGGAGAAAAAGAATAAACTCACTTATAGAAGTGATTAAATATAAAACTGCCAAAACGGCCAGTAACTCACCAGAAACTGGGGAATGTGCCGCATGCGATAGCACAGGGAACAAAGCCACATAGACAGCCCTCAGAATAAGGCCTGGGGAATCCATAAATTTAGGAGAACATTCCAGACAGTCTGTGAGGTCACAGCTGTTTTCACAAGAACATTAAGAAGTTATGTGCCTTGTGAACCACGTTGACACAAGACAGTTCAAAAACAATGGTGAATGAAACTTTCAGTGCCTCAGAGTTTACCACAACACTGGCATCAAGTTCACAGCCAGCAGTCTTTTGTTTTTCACAACTACATGTGCTCCCTCAAAAATGAAAGAAAAAAGGAAGGAAGGAAGAAAGGAGGAAGGGAGGAAAGGAAGGAAGGAAGGAAGGAAGGAAGGAAGGAAGGAAGGAAGCAAGCAAGCAAGCAAAAGGATGAAGGATGCATCAGTAAGAATTAGATAGCTGTGTGAGTTACCAACTCAACTAGCTACTTTGGTTGGTGGAAGGTAGGAAAGACTGCCAAATAAACTAGCAGTGTTCAGCCTTAGCCACCTAGGACACATATTCTCAAAAATGAAAGCAATGCCAGGCATGGTGGTACAAGCCTTTAATCACAGCACACAGGAGGCAGAAGCAGGAGGATCTCTGAGATTGAAGCTAACCTGGTCTACGGAGAAAGTTCTAGGTCAGTCAGGGATACATAGAGAGCCCTTATTTCAAAACAAAAATAAAAATAAAACAAAATGAATGCAGAGAGCCTGTAGCTGTAAGAAAGCAAATGACGATTTTTTTTCCCCTCATGATAAAATTCAAAATTCAAAAGGTACAGGCCTTTAATTCCAGCACTCAGGATGCAGAATCAGGTGGAACTCTGTGAGTTCAAGGCCAGCATGGTCTACAGAGTGAGTTCTAGGACAGCCAGGGCTACACAGAGAAACTCTGTCTCAGGACAAAAAAATTCAAACTTTCAAGGAGAAAAAAATCACAATTTCCCCATATCAGCCTATGCTATAGTGGGCTTAAGCACTTCCTCACACTGAAGTCATGCACGTATAAGGGGATCTCTGCAAAGCACAAGAGGAACCAGGGGCAGTGGTGTGACAAAGTTCAGGGAAATAAATGGCTTCAGAGAGGCCCACACTCGGCAGGTCAGAACTGCCACATGACAAGTTCTGGTATAGCATCAAAGCAACTTGGCAAACATCTAAAAAGGTGTGTACTTCCCATGTGGGGTGGGGGTGGGGAGATGAGGCAGGAGTTGGGCTTTAGAGCTCATGTCCCAGGAGACATGAGAATTCATGGTTTTTACACAAAAGTTTCACAAAAGTTTCACAACATGTAAAATAATGCTGCTTTTTTTCATTCATTAATTTTATTTTGGTTTGGAAAATAAAGTTTTTCATAGAAATGTTACTGATAGCTAGGTGTGGTGGTGCATACCTTTGATTCCAGCACTTGCAAGGCTGAGGCAAGTGGACTTCTGAGTTTTAGGCTAGCCTGGTTTACAGAGCCATGGCTACACAGGGAAACCATGTCTTGAAAAAAACAAAACAACAAAAAAACAAAACAACTAGGAAAAGAAAAGGAGGGAAGGGAAGGGAAGACATGTTACTGATGTATGTGCCTGGTTATTGGCTTTTACTTTTGAGATAGTCTTGCCGTGCAGCCCAGGCTGGCTGATCCTACTGTTGAGTGGTGATTCTACTGTTGCTGACTGAGTCTTGAATTACATACAGTGCACTACCAGCCAGGTGGTGGTGGAGCATGCCTTTAATCCCAGCACTCAGGAGGCAGAGGCTTGTGGATCTTTGTGAGTTCAAGGCCAACCTGGTCTACAAGAGCTAGTTCCAGGACAACTAGGGCTACACAGGGAAAGCCTGTCTCAAAAAAAAATCAAAAAACAAAACAAGTGTACTACCACATCTTTTTTGTTTGTTTGTTTGTTTGTTTTTGACAGTCTCATGTGGCCCAGGCTGGCCCTGAATACTGTGTAGGTGAAGGTGGTCTTGAACTTGGCCTTTGCCCAGATGTTTAGGTTGGCCATTTTTCAAAAGTATAAATGGACAAAATAAGTCGAAAAGCTGAAGAACTGCAGAACTAGATTCTTCCAGGGGCATCCTGTGCTAACAACCTCCCTGGTCTTATTAGAGTTTCAGCCTCTTGGGCAATGCGCCCATGACAGTCATGGTACAAAACAGGCTGTTCTTGACTGTGGGATGACTGCTTCCCTCAGAGTCTCATCTGAGACTACATGGATAGCAAGTGGTACTCTTGCTGCCATGGGCTAAGCAAGTTCACATCCTTGTCCCATCACACTAGAATGCTTTAAGGCTGAAGTCTGTCTCCTAGCAACCAATGGCTGCCTCCAGGTACTTTAGGCAAGGGAGGAAGCATGTCTGATGATGTAGCAGCCAAGGAAAGGAGGAGAGTGAGCGGAGGCTGGGTGCCTTTGTTGTCCCTCCCACACCCCACGACAGCTGGCAGAGCCAGCACAGGGCGGCCACGTGGCCACAGGCTCACCGACATGGCCAGGTGCAGCGGCGTGTTCCCGTGCTCTCCTCGGGCACCTGCGTTGGCCCCATAGGTCAGCAGCACCATGACACAGTCAAAGCGGTTGCGCATCACTGCCACATGCAGGGCTGTGTTTCCCGCAGTGCTTGTGCTGTCCACGTCACAGCCCCGCTTCAGCAGCATCCGGGCCATCTGGGGACACAGACCAGGTGGGCACTCAGGGGCAGTATAACAAAGGAAGAGCAGTCCAGAGGCAGGCCCCAGGTCCATGAGTGACCTTAGACCTTTACCCACATACACCAGCTCCTCAGCAACTAGGTGACAAATAGGTGAAGATGCACAAATTGATTCCAGAAGCTTCTGTTCCCTTCCTGGATCTACAAAGGGGTCTCTGGGCCAGGCCCTGCAGCACTGACTTCCTGAGGCCTTCTGTGGGATGTGTCCCAGGGGCCTTTATATGGTACCCTGGCTTACTTTGAACTGAGAGGACAGTGCTGACCCTAAAGCCCTGTCAGCCCTTCCTGCACCCTGAGCCTGAACCCATCACTGCAGTGCCAGCTCTCAGTCCTGACAGTGGACACACTTGCATGTTTGTGGCCTACTTGTATTGCCAAGCTAGGCTACTGGGCATCCTCTCAGGACAGAGCCACTAGGGGACCTTAGTCTGGATGGCCACCAGGCTCTTTGTGGGGACTGCTGGGCTCAGTGGCCATCACCATTGTCCCCTTCTACATGTGAGGCACAGTTTCCCATGCACTGCTTTGTTAGCTTCCCAAGACCTCCAAAGGCAGGCAGCAGGGCCCCCAGCCATGGACAAGGAATCAAGTCCACCAACCAGTGAGCAGCGGGACAGTGGTGGGACCTCAACGGTTCCTGGGGCAGTCTGCCATGCATCCTTGTGCCACTGACATCCGCTCAGGCATCTTCTCTGGCTCTGCCCTGCCTCTCACCTGCTGACCTGCCTACCTCGGCATTCTTGGCCCAGTGGAGTGGGCTGGCTCCGTATCGAGGATCCTTGCTGTGAATCTGGCTGCTGTCCATACTGATAATCATTTCGGCACACCTAGGAAGAGAGCAGGACAGTGGGGGACACTGCACTGGACACCTAGGGCTTGCCAACTAGCTGTCCTGACGATGACCTCCTAGATAGCACAAATATAAATAAACAGAACTACATTAAACTGAAAAACTGGTCAACAGGAAATGAAATGACTAACAAAATGAAAAGGCAAAAATTGGGTAAAAATTGAAAACTAAGGCCAGGCGTGGTAGGGATTACACTTGTAATCCCAACATTAGGATGCTGGCACAAGAGGATTCCAAATTCTAAGCCATGCTGGACTATATAGCATAGGCCTTTCTCAAAAAGGGCATGTGTGGGTGGAGCACAAAATGGTTCAGCAGGTAAAAGTGCTTGCTGCTAAGCCTGAGGACTTGAGTTCAATCCCTGGGCTACATATGAACAAGTAATAAATATAAGACAGAGCAATAATAATTTTAAAAAGCAAGTAATGGGCTGGGAAGCTTAAGAGCACTGGCTGCTGTTCTTCCAGAGGCCTGGGTTGGAGTCCCAGCACCCACAGTTCTCATTTCACAGTATCTGGATGCCCTCTTCTGACTTTTGTGGGCACTGCATGCACATTGGTGCAGACATAAAAGAAGGCAAAACACTCACATGAATAAAATAAATATAAAAATGTTTTAAGTCGGGCTTTGGTGGTGCACACCTTTAATCCCAGCACCCAGGAGGCAGAGGTAGGCAGATCTTGTGAGTTCGAGTCCAGCCTGGTCTACAGAACAAGTTCCAGCACAGGCTCCAAAGCTACAGAGAAACCCTGTCTCAAAAAAAAAAAAAAAAAAAAGCAAATCATCTATCAGGTAGGGCATGGAACATTATAAGTAGGTTACAGCAAGGTTGGGAAATCTCTGCCATGGTATATCTGCTAATGGTGACATTTTTAGTTTGGGGGTTGGTTGGAAGCTAGTGGTATGCTAAGAATATTTTACCTGATAGACACAGAAGTGGGCATAAATATCTGTTAAGGGGACTAAAGGATGTCCAAAATAGCACCAAATGTGGTAGCACATGTTTACAGTCTCAGCACTTGGAAGGCAGGAGGATCAGGAATTCAAGGCCAGCCTGTTTGGGGTTTTGTTTTGTTTTGTTTGTTGTGTTTTAAGATTGCCCAAGAGAACTCGGCTTTGGATCTCAAAATTCTACCTTCACAATCAAGACATTCTACTCCATTCCACAACCTTCTTGAATCTTCAACCCAGGGATGGTTTTCCCTGCCCTGGGAACTTCACCTCATAGACCCAAATAGACATTTCTCTAAAGATGACATAAACATAGCCAACAGGTCTACAGCAAGCTGTTCAACCTAAGTAACCAAAAGGGAAACACAAATCAGAGCCACTGAGATTCTATCTCTTAGCTGTGAGGACAGCTATTATTAAAATGTAATAGGGCACTGTGCTGGTGAGGGCATGAGGAAGAGGGAGCACCCAGGCACTGAGCAGAGGAGAGGGAGCACTCAGGCACTGAGCAGAGGAGAGGGAACATTCTAGCACTGAGTAGAAGAGAGGGAGCACTCATACATTGAGCAGAGGAGAAGGAGTACTCACACACTGAGCAGAGGACCTCCATCATGGAAGTCACAGAGATATAACAGTTCACTACTGAATGATGAGTAAGTAGGTAAATGAAAAAAAAAAAAAATCAAGAAAAAAAATTTTCTGGAACTAAATGAAAACAAAAAACATAACAAAAAACCCCTGGGACACATTAATCACAGTCTTAGGAGGAAAATGTATAGTTCTAAGTGCCTACATTGAAAAATCAGAAAGAACACTAATAAATGACCAATGATAAAACTCAAGAATTTGAAAACACAAGAACAAGCTAAACCCACATCCAGTGGAAAGCAAGAAACAATAAAAACTACAGCAGAAATTAATGAAATAGAGACAAAGAAAACAATACAAAGAGTCCCCAGACTCCATTCTTTGCACAAAGATCTTCATTGGACTGTGACTCCAGATTCACCAAGGGTGACGCAGTCGGGCAGAGAGGGCACCAAGGAGGGGACACACAGGCACAGAGAAGCCTGAGGCAGATGGGCAGTTGTGTATCATCTGGTGTCCTCTCAGGTCACAAGCTGCCTGTTTCCTACCTCTGCACTACAGAACACTGTAGTCCAGCACCGTGAGGTGGGAGGCTGCAGTCTATCTTGCTTAGCACAGAGCCAGATGAAGACCAATTGACCCCATTCACTCACTCACTCCAGATGGTGCTCTGGCTGGGTGGCAGTTTGCAGTATTTTACCTCCTTAGTTCTCCTCCAACACAAATGGAGAACCTTGTGGGACCTCGGAACTTCCAGGGTTTACAGGAGAGCTAGAGCCTGGTACCTGCCTCCTGCAGTGCTGCCAGCTGCAAAGAAGCAATGTGCTAGAACACAGGGTCTTGGACCGCTGGAACTAGCATCCTTGGGTTGTCAGTAAGCACCAGAGCCAAGTGCTGAAGATCCTTCAAGCCTCAAGTTTGCAGCAGACTTGAGAACTGGCACATAAAGTCTCAAGGTCAGAAACCTGGGTGCATTAGTACAAAACTCTAAACGGCCTACTCTCTGCACAGTGGTTTGTAGATGTGGATGTGTAGCTACCACATAACAGCATCAAGTGCTTTCTTGAGGCTAGTGCCTTTGGCTTAAAGGGCAGTAGGGGTCATGTGATGGCAAGGCTTACCCCTTCTGGGAGAACTTCATGGCTGTGTGGATGGGGAAGCCACCGGGTCCCATGATGTTGCAGCGGGCGTTACAAAGCAGCAGTACACGCACCATCTCCTGCTTTCCCATCTGGCAGGCCAGGTGCAGGGGAGTTAGCCCTTGTTTGTTCACCTGGTTCAGGCCGGCTGAGGCGTTCTTTCCTAGGAGCTAACAGGACAACACAGATAAGCGACCTGCCACTCCCCTCTCTAGAACACTCCAGGGGCATCTTCCTCTGGACACTGAAAGGGAAGGGACATTTGACTCCACGAGGATAAAGAGGAGCAACAGAGAATGGCATTTGGAGAAGATAAGAAAGCCTAACAGTGAGCTCAGCATGTGGGGTGTGGATCAGCCTGACTGTGGCTCATATGAACATGTCTGAAGAATCTTAACCCAGGTGAGATGACATGACTGTCATCTCAGAAGGTCAAGTTCAAAACTAGTCTAGACTACCAGTGAGTTCCAGACCAGCTTGAGCTACATGAGACCCTGTATAAAAGAACAAAAAGAACTTTGTTTCTAGGTGGACAGATTTCTTGCTTCCCACAGATATCCTTCTTTCCAGAATAGTCCTGTCAATTTGACACAGTCTAGAGCCATGTGAGAGGAGAGGCCTCAGCTGAGGAACGGTCTGCTGGGTAATATGAACCTGTGGGCATATCTGTGAGAGACTGTCTTGATTATTAATTGATCCAGGAGATCCCAGCCCACTGTGGGCAGTACCATCTTTAAGCAAGTGATCTTACACCTAGCTAAGGCAAACACGAGGAAGCAGGTGAGCAAGCCAGAGGCTAGCAGTCCTTACTGGTTTCTGCTTCAGTCCTTGCTTGAGATCCTGCTATGACTTCCCTCAATGATAGACTGTAATCTAGACATGTAAGTCAAGTAAATTCTTTTTTCCCCTAAGTCAATTTTGATCAGAGTGGTTACAGCAACTAGGACACCTCCAATCCTGCAGAATATCTTTCTGCTTGCAGGTATTATGTTTTCAATAAAAGAAGTCAATGTGGCCTAGTGATAGAATGCTTACCTGGCATACGTAAGGTTCTGAGTCCAATCCACGGTACTGTGCCTTCCGGTCTACCCAAACCCTAAGGTACTGGCATCTTTAGTATGGAATGTACCCCATAGTATTTGTGATCCTTTCTAGATGATGTCTATAGCCTCACACAATGTAAATACCAGATGAACAGTTGTCTGGGTTTTGTTTGTTTTGGTTTTTTGAGCTCTGGCTATCCTGGAACTCACTCTGTAGACCAGGCTGGCCTCAAATTTGCAGAGATCCGCCTATCTCTGCCTCCCAAGTGCTGAGATTAAAGGCGTGTATCACCACTGCCTGAATAGATGAACAGTAGTTTATTAGGAAATAATGATGAGGAAAAATTGTCCATACACATATGTAATTTTCCTCTAGATATGAAACCCACCCAAAGACACAAAGAATGACTATGCTAGCGGGAAGCTGACAGGATTTTGTCCTCTTACTTGGGGCTCAATGCCATCTCCCTGATCTTAGTTATGACCACTGGGTACTGATTTAACAAGAGGAAGGCTGGGGACCCACATGGGGGAAGCCTAGGCCAGCCTACAACATCCCCAGGTTGTTGGCCCTCAGTAGCTACATTTCTTGCTTGTACTGAACCTCAGTTTTTTATATGAGGAAAACACAACAGTACTCAAAATCAGGAGAGCATTTTGAGAACTGACCAGAACATATGATGCAGGCACAAGCCAGCATCAGTAAGGGGACAGGTGCAATGCATGACTGCTGGCCAGGCACACCCTCACTCCCCCTCCAGAACTAGGCATGTCTTCCCTTGGACTGCTATGCATTAGACACAGATGTGTGTTTTCTAGCACAATCCAGATGCCCAGCAGAGGGGACAGAACCTGCCTTTCCTTCCAACTGAACAGTGGCTTCTCAACAGCACTACTCCATCTCTTAGCCATGACTATGGCTCAGTGGGTAAGCACACTGGCTGTTCTTCTGAAGGTAGATGTTTGAATCCCAGCACCCACATAGCAGATCACAAGCATCTGTGGCTTCAGCCCCAGAAGACTGTCACCCTCTTCTGTACTCTGAAGGCATTGCACATGTGTGCACAGACACACATGCAGGGAAAGTAGCCATACACATAAAATAATGCATTCCTGAAAACAACTTAACCCTGCCTTTGGTCCCCGTCTTATCACTTACCTATCACTGCCTACCTCAAATGCCTCTAGGTTCTGGCTTGGCTTGAGTACCGATAAATTAGGTCAAGTCCCAGTGTACCTTGAGCTCTTCAGGGAGGGGCTAACCTGATGCACCCAGCCCAGGGGCTGGCTTTGGGCAGCTACTGAGCTCTATACCTGACTGAAGTTTCCATAGAGTCCAGCTCACTAGGTTGGAGCACTTCCATGACTAAAGATATATCTCCCTCTAAGTGTCACGGGGCAGGGGCAGGGATGGGGAGCGATGAAGGAACTTAAGCCTCAGGGATCAAGGATGGATGAGTGAGAAGGCTCCTCAAAGCAAGTTTCAGGCAGAAGGAGGTGCTTGGTTGCTTGGTCCCTGCCTACCACCCAACACTCACCTGCAGGACCTGGGAATTGTCCCCTTGTACAGCGTAATGGAAGGCCGTCTCTCCTTTGTTGTCAGTGACATCCATCTGGGCATGGCAGTACTGTACCAACTCCACCAGGATCTCACTGTCACCCTTGCGGCAGGCCAAATGTAGTGGGGTGCAGCCCTCCTCATTCTCTGTGCTGTTGGCGCAGCTGTTAGGGGACATTGGGGCAGGCAGCGATAGGTAAGTGATAAGACGGGGACCAAAGGCAGGGTTGCCAAGAAGTCCAAGTGTAGAAGCAGGGTTCAGGCAAGAGTTGGGGTCCTGGGGTGACTCGAGCCCCAGGTCAGCCTGAGCCACTGCATCGTATCTGCTGAGCTGTGCCAGGCTGCAGTATGTTCTGCTCACCTGTGGGGAGATGGACCCTCGGGCCACACCAACATGAGGCGACAATAGGATGACACGGAAAAGGGTCGTGCAATACAGAAACTTGTTGAACCTCCATTCTTTAGGGACTGTTGTGAGATGAGATACCATGGTGTCCAAGGTCATTCCTGGGAGTTGGACAGCTCAGAGACGTTTTGGCTTTGCTTTTGAAATAAGGTCTTACTACGTAACTGAGGCTGGCCTTGAGCTCATAGAAATCTGCCTCCCTCTACCAGGCAAGTGCTGAGACTAAAGGTGGCATCACCATGCCCAGCTTGATAAGGTTTTAGCTAGAACCCAGTCGTTAAACCGAGAAGTCAGGACAGCCAGCCAGTGACTTGCAAGGGCATCCAAGGTGATCTCTTGGGGGCGGGGTGTGGGGGGGATTTGCTGACACAGCATTTATTAGATGGATATAAAAGAGGCCATCCAAGCTTCCAGGAAAACAGTGGGGCTTGGGAAGGAGACTAATATCTGAGTCCCTATTCAGTCCTCTCCTATTGAATAGCTGTGCCCTGGTCCCACGGGCTCTCTGAGATGACAGAATAGCTGGAAACATGCATTTCCTTCTGATTGAAATCAGTGTTCTCACTTAGTAGCCAGGGTAGTGCTGATCCTTTCTTACCCAAGCCATGGAAAGAACACAGGTTGAGCTGGGACACTCCACTGCAACAGGCAGCACGTGTGCCCGCAGGGCTGATCACCATCCACCACCACACTCCAACGTCCCCAGCCCTCGAGCAACATGCACACTCATGCCGGCAACTGCCCACCTGATGATTCGGCTGTGATGGAAGCACTCCCGAATGCCAAGCTCCACCGCCAGGTGTGCCACGGTCCAGCTGGGGTGGCTGCGGATGAGGTCAGACAGGTGCTGTAGCACCTCCACATGCAGGGTCTGCACAGAGCTCTCGTAGAAGGGTGGCAGCTGGGAGGAGTATTGCTGGAAGTTCACCAGGGCATCTGCCTCTGACTCTAGCTGGAAGAGTCTGCCACCAAGGAAGAGAGGCCACTGAGGTGAGTCATGGGGACAGAAGCTGGGCCAGCTGAGGGGCAGTGCCCAACATAATCAGACCATGAATGCCACCCTCTGCCCCAGGCTGCAGTCAGTCTGCTCCCTCACCCTCAACACCAACACCAACACCACCCTCAAAAAGTAGAGTTTACTTTGGACTTAACTCTGCTTGAAATCTTTCATCTGGTGCTTTTATATCTTATTTAATGAAAGCCATATCACAGACTCCTCTAATTGTCACATCCAGGAGTCTCAGTCTCAAACTCTGGATCTTTGTATATGGTCAGAACTAGTGATAGTTAACCTAGATGGTCAGCTACAGAATACCATGGCTCAATTATCTATGCAATGGATATTATACAGCCATGAAAACGGCTTAACATTAATAGAGAGGGGCCAGCAAAACTCCAAAGAGTTGTCCTCTGACCTCCTATGACACAGCCTCTACACTATGACATGACCCCTACACTATGGTACCAGTACATACAAAATAAACAAAATGTAATAAATTATTTTAAAAGTACAGGGAGATGTGTATTTTGTAACAAGTGAAAAGCAGGATACAAATAATATATAACACAAAGTGATCTCAGCTATGCAAAAAAGACTGTAAGGATGTGTCAAAATGCATTTAGAAGCAGAATGAATCCAACATTCCTACCCGATATTCTTCAAACCTTTCAAAGACCTACAGAAGATGGCATTTAAGATGGTTTATTAGGGTTTTTCATGACAGTGAGACACAACTGCTCCTGGCAACACCAATTACATCAAAGAGGAAGATGGGTATTGAAGAAACTTGTTTGGCGTTTGCCTTCAACATGGCAGAAATAGCCATTTGAGCAAGAAACTGCTCTTACCTGGACTGTTTGAGTGTATGCTGTATAAACTGGACATGCAGGACCACAGGGAAGTGACTGATGAATTTGCCAAAACAAGACAGGACCAGGCGGGACAGAAAATGTGCCAACACCTACCCATTTCTCTTTTTTCTAAGTTTCTCTAATGAGCATATGCATTGTTTTCCTCATCAGAAAATTCTGTTTATTGAAAAGGAGTTGGGTTTGAGTCCAGTTCTGCTATGAAGTTGTTCTGTGCCTTTGGTAAACGCCTCCCTGAGTCCCATCTGTAACATGAGACAGATTAACTGCACTCCTGTGAGTATGTTGAGAAAGTAGTGCACAGTCACAAAGCCAGGCAACTACACGTTAGGTGGTGACCTGAAGTTCTGGCCATGGTTCTCAATAGTTGGGCTTTGTCTCACACCTATACAAGTCAGAAGCTACCTGGCTCTAGTTCAGGCAGTGCCCATCTGATGACGGCTGGTCTGATGGAGCCAGCTCGTCCTCCCCAATCTGTCCTCTGAAGACTCCGGGCATGCTCTATGCTGGATATGGGTCTCAACAGAGCAACTATAGGAACAAACCAGTGTGGACACTGCTCTGAGTCTGTGTGTGTGTGTGTGTGTGTGTGTGTGTGTGTGTGTGTGTGTGTGTTGGTTGTTTTGGCTTTTTAAGACAGGGTCTCTCTATGTATCCCTGGCTGTAGGTAAGGATGGTCTCGAACTCAGAGATCCACCTGCCTCTGCCTTCCAAGTGCTGGGATTAAAGACACACACCACCATGGCCCATTGAGTGTCTGTTCTGTTCTGTTTTGTTTTTGTCTTTTTGAGACAGAGTGTCTGTTATTATAGGGGAGGCTATAAAGACAACACCAGGACTTGGCGTACAGGAGGAGGATAGCAGGGCTTTGGCCCTGGCAGATTTTGGCTCTTTATCCTCCAGTCCATCATGGCAGTGGGTGTTCCCACTTGTTTGTTCCTTTACTTGCTCTGTTTAGGTGAGTTCAGTTTCATCCTAAGTTATGTGACAAGCCTGACACTAGCCTAGGGTATGTGAGACATAGTCTGAAAAAGCTGAAATTCAACAGACTGAACAGTGTTGAAGAAAAAAATTAGTGAATGGGAAGAAAAGTCCACAGAAAACAGGCAGAACCAAGTGTGTGGAGACAAAAAGAATAGAAAAGAAAATTCAGGAAAACAGGGAAGAGACACAAACCATCATGAGGGGGTCAGACACAGAGCAGAAAAAACTAGATGGAAGTCCTATGTTAAAGGCTAATGTCTACAAACTCTCTAAAATAAATTTAAAAGGAAAAAAAAGTTCTATTGATTTACTCCATCCTCCAAGTCCATCTCCCTATTAAAAAAAAAAAAAAAAAAAAAAACTTAAAAAAAAAATTTAAATGCCAAAGCTTGGCGATAACACAGTAAGTTATTTCCAAAAGTTGTCTTCCGACACAACACACACACACACACACACACACACACACACACACACACACACACACACACGTACATCTTGTTTTTGGAAAAATATTTACTACATTTATTTATTTGTATGTGTGCACACGCAAATGTGAGTACCAGGGATTGAACTCAGGTTGTCAGGCTTGGTGGAAAGAGCCTTTACCCACTGAACCATCTCACTGTCCCATAAATACATCTTTTAAAAAACAAAGCCCCAATCCACATCTACCACATGTGCAGGCTATAAAACAGGGTCCCAAATCCTCTGGCATTCCTGTCACCAAACAAAACTCTGCTCTTTGACCTGCCTGGCTAACTGCTTTACCACTACAATAAGCAAGAGCAGAGCTATTGCAGTGTCTTGACAGAGACCTGAAGATAGTCACATGCTATTTGATAACAGGGCTGCATTCTGAGAAATGTATAGTTAAAAAGTGAATGCTGCCTCCCAGCACTTGGGAGGCAGAGGCAGGTGGATCTCTGTGAGTTTAAGACCAGCCTGGTCTACAAGAGCGAGTTCCAGGCCAGGGCAGGCTCCAAAGCCACAGAGAGACCCTGTCTGGACCAAAAAAGGAAAAAAAAAAAAAAAAAAAAAAAACAAAGAAAGAAAGAAAGGAAATTGGGAACTGGGTGAATACAAAAGCAATGAACACGAAAGTCAACTTGCTGGTTGCCATTCTTTGGTGAAAAGAAGCCTCTGGTACAGCATGCTTTGTTTCTTAGCATAATGTCAGTACAGAGGTATTTGTGCTTAATCTCTGAGCAAAAGATACTCTTCTAGATATCTGTTGTATTTCACAATTTTTAAATTGTGTGTGTGTGTGTGTGTGTGTGTGTCTGCATGAATGCCATGCCTTCTGAGGCCAGAAGAGGGCACTGGATTCCTGGGGCAGGAGTTAACAGTTGTGAGCTGCCTGACCCACAAACTGAGAACCAAACTAAGGTCCTCTGCATCAGTCTTCCCTGTCTCTGAAAGCCTGGAACAATCACCTTCTCCCTTCTCCTCTGGAACAAAGCCATCCCTCTCCAGAGTAGCTCTGCAGGCTTGGCCAGCAACAGAAAGGACTGCTTCCTGTGTTTCTATGGTTACCCAGGCACTACTTCTATCAAAACACAGCTCCTTACAAGGGGGTTAGCAGGCCTGTGTACTCGTGGTTTCCTTCACCAGTCTGCATGTTCCTTAAAGACACAGCCCATGTGTGCCACCTCTCAGGGCTGACTGGCCCCAAACACAGAGCTCCTATGAACAGGTGGGTGATGGGATAGCCAGACAGAAGAGCAAGCCAAAAGAGCATTGCTATAAACAGCTCAACATGAGGCAGCCCAGTTCCATCAGACCCTGAAATGGAGACTTGGCTCTGTGGAATCTCCCCTTTCCCCACTCTACCTGCCCTGGACCCCTGCCTTAGCCTTCTAGCTCCAAGAAGTCCCAGCTTGCCTATTGCCAGCCCTTACACAGCAGCTGTCCAAACCCTGACTCCTATGGTACTACGATCCAGTTGAAGGGCACCCCAGTGGGTCCCGGTCAGCTTCCCAATTCTTCCTCCTTCCCACCATCTGTAGTCATCAAGACTCAGGAATGACACACTATTTTCTCCTCCTGGCCCTTCCCTCCAGTATAGGACTTTCAGGCAAAAGACGCTCCAAAGAAGCCATATCCACATGGGCCCTAAAAGCTCTGGACAGTGGGAATGAAAGGGGAGTGCATGTCTCACTGCCTATCACCTACCGGAAGCCACTCTGGGGGCTCCTAGGGCTGACCAGGATGCAGTCCCAGGTGCGATTGGAAGCATTCTGGAACAGAACCAGCTGTCCTTCCTCTCGAACACGTTCACTTGAGGCATAGTCAGCCACGGACACCTCCTTCACCCGGAATGGGTTTGAGAACAAGTTGGTGACACTACTGAGGGTGTTGACGAGGCGTCCGAAGAACTGCATTCTCCCTGGGGTGGGTGAGGGCCCAGCTTTCCCCCTTGCTCTAGAAGAAAATAAGGTCTCTGGTCAATTGGACGCAGCCTCTCATGCCCAACTCACAGGTGTCCTCCTGCTCAGGCACTCCATCACCCCACCAGCTCTGTACCGATTCTGACTGGCAGGAACCTAAAAAGGAGAGAAACCACCTTTCATGGAATAGCAGGTCTGATGGAAAGTTCCAGACCCTCAGGCCAACCCAGGGACCTTTCAGACAGTAAGCACAGTGAGCATAAATGTGCTATCTGCAACAAGGCCTGGGCAAGTGAGCAGTTTCTCTCCTTGAAAACCAAAGAGGACATTCTGGATATCGCAAAGCTTGGCATGGGCATGCCAACTCCATAAGCAAAGCCAAGGGCCCTCACTATCACCCACCAGACTGTACCACAGCACTAGGAAGGGGGCAGGGAGTAGCTGTCTATCTGCTCCCTGTCACTGCTTTCACACAGAGCTCTGAAAACAGCCACAGAGCCGGGTCATCAGGATGGAAATGAACTCAGGCTCATACCTGCCAAGTGTGCGTTTGGGGATTTGTGAACATAGAGATGTGTGCGAATGTCTGCACGTGCTTGTGTGGCCAGGGTCAATCAACCCCAGGTATCTGTTTTCAGGTGTTCTCTCATTGACCTGGAACTCAGCAAGTAGGCTAGATGGGCTAGCCAGTGGGAACCAGGGACCCCCCCCGCCCCCCGTCTGCCTCTCCAGCAGATCCCAAGTATGGGTTACTGTGCCCAGCTTTTTTTTTTTTTTAAGATTTCAGTTTTTTTCAAGACACAGTTTCTCTGTGTAACAGTCCTGGCTGTCCTGGAACTCACTCTGTAGACCAGGCTGGCCTAGAACTCAGAGATTCACCTGCCTCTTTCTTCCAACTGCTGGGATTAAAGGCATCTGGAGACTGGGGTTCATCCTCCTTAACTGAGATTTTCCTTTTTCTTTCTTTCTTTCTTTCTCTCTCTCTCTCTCTTTTTTTTTTTTTTTTTTTTTTTTTTTTTTTTTTGGTTTTCTGAGACAGGGTTTCTCTGTGTAGCTTTGGAGATTGTCCTGGAACTTGCTCTGTAGACCAGGCTGGTCTCGAACTCACAGAGATCTGCCTGCCTCTGCCTCCCTTGAGTGCTGTTATTAAAGGTGTGCACCACCAACACCCAGCTAGAGATTTTCTTTCTCAAACTACAGATTAAGTCATAGTTTCTGCTATAAAAATTGTCTCTCAGTTTAGACTGGAGCCTCAGATCTGTGTTTGTGTGTTTGCTAGGGATGGAACTCAGGACCCCACATTCATTGGCCATGCCCCCAGGCCCAGAGTTAGAGATCCCTGTTTTCCAGATATGTGTGATCTACAACAGTCAGAGCTACAAGGAGAGGCTCTTTTTCAAAACAAAAACAAAACAAAAACAAAGAACACAAAATAGATACAGAGGATAAATAGACAGACAACATGAGGTCATGGTTAAAAATAAGACCACAGGGTGGCAAGGTGGCTTGGCACATTAAAGCACTTGCAGACAAGCCTGATAACCTAGGTCGATCCTTCAGACACACACACACACAGAGCGGTGAAGTGGCATGCCTGAGGTCACATAGCAGACTGGGAAGGCATGAGTGCCACAGCCCTCTATGAGCAGCTCCAAAGGTCTCTCACCCCTGCATGGAGTACAGCTCAAGTTTCTTTTCTTACTTTTTTTTTTTTATGTACTTTCCAAGACAGGGTTTCTAACAGCCCTGGCTATCCTGGAACTAGCTCTGCAAATCAGGCTGGCCTCAAATTCACAAGAGATCCTCCTGCCTCTGCCTCCCCAGTGCTGGGATTAAAGGATGTGCCAGCACTGCCCGGCTCAAGTTGTTTTTTATGGTTGTGAGCCTAGCCTTTATGACAAAATTTAACTTAGTAATATTTTGCACAATTTTTTGAAGGGCTGGTGAGATGGCTCACTGGGTAAAGACAGTTACTGTGCAAGTCTAGAAACCTGAATTTAATCCCTAGAACACATGTTAAGGTGTTAGGAACTAACTTCACAGAGTTGTCCTCCGACCTTCACCACATGTCCATCATAGCTCTCTCTCTCTCTCTCTGTATATATATATAAAATTAGATCCAACATAGAAAAGACAATAGATAAAAGCAGCATACCAGGATATCTGGGGTGAAGGGTCTGGTTTCATGGGCAATACTATTGCTTTTCTTGACTTTCCAAATGGCACACAAAATTACCATGGCTTTATAGAAAGCAGCTGTGTAGGCTGAGCCTGGGCTCAGCCCTAATTCAGAAGAGATATAGCTTCATGCAGATTTGCCAGAGGCCAGGCCAGATACAAAGAAGTGCTCCAAGGAAGGAGGGGGGCTTCGAGAACACTCAAGAGCCCCACTGGTTTAACCCACTTGCCAGTGGAATCAGCAGCCTCACAGAGGAAGATCCCCACCCCAGCACCTCCCATAGAGACACCTCCCATGTGTTGAAAGGCCTGGCTCCCATCCAGTCTGCTGGGGCCAGTGTGACACAATGATATAACTAAGGAAAAGGCCAGGATGCCAGCCCACTGTGACACTCTAACAGCAGCCATTGTTCTCATTCGGTGGATGAGAGGAAATGAACTCTATGGGACTGTGGGTCACATCCTGGAACAAGAATGGCATGGCCAGTCAATGATGCTACAAGGCAAAGAGAAGACATGTGTGCCACCCTGTCCCTACTGCCTCAGGGCCCAGCGGGGTCCTTCCAGCCTAGCCACACAGCAGAATTCAGGCTAGGAACAAGCTGCTACTAGAGCATCATTTCCCACCTGTCCCCTGTTGGGCTTGCTTCTTACAGTGTCTATGTTCTTATACCCTTCGTTATCTACTACTGACCCTTCTGCTCCATGGCAGAACAGGCTCCCTGATGGGGTCATTTGATATAGACTGCCTGTTTCCAGGCATAAGTGCCACAGGTGAAAAGGGACAAGCCCAAAACCATCCACAGCAATGGTGCCAGTGGTGACTCCAGTGTAAGGTCAAGCTCTGTGGCCTTGTCTCTTTCACCTGCTTCCAGTCAGGAGTCCAGTGGATCTGCTTGGTTTATTTCTGGAAGACAGACAGTGTCGGTAGGGTCTGGGGCTCTCCTGAAGGGACTGAAGACAGGAAGGCCAAAAACTAGTAGACTCTCATCAGAGACAGGGAGATTACACCCAGGGAGGGCCTCAAATGAACGGTTCAAAAGACAAGAGAATACATCTGGCCACCAAAGTGAAAAACAAAAACCCTGAAGAGACTCTGGAAGAGTCTCCAGTGAGTTCCCCAGAAGGGGTTGTTTGGGTCCATGAGTGCATGATCCCTGTGTGATAGCATGTTATTTTAAGGTATGTGACTTTTGTTTATGCTAGATTTGTTTAACTCTGTGAAGCTGTGGTTCTTTGCTTGTCTAAAACACCTGAAGGTCCTAAAGAAGAGCTGAACAGCCAATAGCAAGGCAGGAGCAAGGACAGGCGGGGAGGGCAGGCAGAGAGGATAAACAGAAGGAGAAAGGAGAAGATGCAGTGAGGGAACAAGGAGAGGGGGACATCGGGGCCAGCCCCCAGCCACAGCGTAAAAAGGGAAGACATACAGAAGAAAGGCATACAGTGAAAAGGTACACAGGTTAATTTAAGATGAGAGAAGCTGTCCAGAAACAAGTCGAGCTAAGGCCAAGCACTCATAGCTAAGAATAAGCCTCTTTGTGTGATTTATTTGGGAGCTGGGTGGCTGGGCACCTCAAAAAGATAAAAAAGCCAAGAGTAAAACATCACTCCAAAGGCAAAGCAAACACTAGACTGGCCCCTTCCTACAAGCGGGCATTTAAGACATTTCTAAATGGAGGTTCGTGAAAGCCCAGATCCTGACCCAATCTTACCCACATGGCTTCTTGGTGCCTATCTAGCACATAGACTACACAAAGAATGACTGTAACCCTTCTCCCCCATGCTGCATGATCACACCTCCTGCTGCATGACTGTACCCTGCCTCCCCCCCCCCCCACGACCCTGCATGTCCTGTGAATCTCCAACACTTCAGAGAAAGTCCAAACTGCAGAGCACAAGTCAGAATTCCCAAAAGAGGGCCAGCCTGCACTCTAGCCCCTCACCCCACTCTGGTAATTCAGGCCCAGCGTTACTCCCAGACTGTCATACTTGCGCTTGAGTGTGCCTAGGTGCTCCAGCACCTTCCATTCCTGGCCTGCATCACTCCCTGCCTCATTTAACCTCTTTCCTGACAGACAAGAAGCATTTAATGAAATAAACTTTTCCTTTCTTGTCTCTCAAGACCCAGTTTGGGGGCTACCTCTTCCAGATGTGTAGTGATACATTATTTATGATATTAAAACTGGACTAAGGATTCAGAAAGCAAAGTCAGCCACAGGCTACAGAAGCCAGGCCACCTTTAATCCCAACAGCCAGAAGCTAGCAGATGTTGGCACACTTTTAATCCTAGGACTCAGGATTAAGAGATAGATGGATCTCTGTGAGTCCAAGGCCACCCAGATCTACACAAGAGTCAGTCAAAAAGAGAATTATAGCTCACAACTTTAATCCCAACATTAGGGAAGTATATAAGACAGAAGCAAGGTCTCAGAGAGGCATTCATTCTCCATCCACACTGAAGATAGGTGCACTTATTCCCCAGCCACAACAAGGGAAGTTTACAGTCTGAGGCTTGGTGGAGCTCGTGGAGAAAGGATCAGCCCACTAAGCCTGAGCTAGAGGCCAGCTGCTTTGCTTTTCTGATATTCGGCTTGAAGTTTGAACCCCAAAAATCAGTCTCTGGGTCTTTTATTTATTCATGTTACATAGGAGCCCTCTTTTTCCCTCAGCCTTTCTCCTCTGCAACCCCTCACAAAGGGACCATGACACTGCTTTTATGCCTTCTTCAAGGGCATAACACCCATTTCCAGCAGCTGATGGATAAACATTAAGTTTATCATTAACTTAACAAATGGGAATGAGTGAATATCTGTGAGCCACCTGCTGGCATCCTGAGGCCAAGGAG